CTGGCCTCGTGACCTGGCCTCGTGACCTGGCCTCGTGACCTGGCCTCGTGACCTGGCCTCGTGACCTGGCCTCGTGATCTCGTCTCCCGAAGACATTCGGGAGATGTCTTCCTCTTCTGTAACTGCGAAAGAACAAAAAATTATTTCATATTATTCATTCAAGTAAAAATCTAACGATAAAGAATTGATAAAAATATTTCTTAAAGAAGTTGGATAAACAGGAAATGAAACTAGTAAAAAAAAAATGTGGTGAGCTAGTGTGGTGGGAGGCGACCATGGGCTAGTGTGGTGGGAGGCGACCATGGGCTAGTGTGGTGGGAGGCGACCATGGGCTAGTGTGGTGGGAGGCGACCATGGGCTAGTGGTGTGGTGGTGGGAGGCGACCATGGGCTAGTGTGGTGGTGGGAGGCGACCATGGGCTAGTGTGGTGGTGGGAGGCGACCATGGGCTAGTGTGGTGGGAGGCGACCATGGGCTAGTGTGGTGGGAGGCGACCATGGGCTAGTGTGGTGGGAGGCGACCATGGGCTAGTGTGGTGGGAGGCGACCATGGGCTAGTGTTGTGGGAGGCGACCATGGGCTAGTGTGGTGGTGGGAGGCGACCATGGGCTAGTGTGGTGGTGGGAGGCGACCATGGGCTAGTGTGGTGGTGGGAGGCGACCATGGGCTAGTGTGGTGGTGGGAGGCGACCATGGGCTAGTGGTGTGGTGGGAGGCGACCATGGGCTAGTGTGGTGGTGGGAGGCGACCATGAGCTAGTGTGGTGGTGGGAGGCGACCATGGGCTAGTGTGGTGGGAGGCGACCATGGGCTAGTGTGGTGGGAGGCGACCATGGGCTAGTGGTGTGGTGGTGGGCGACCATGGGCTGGTGTGGTGGTGGGCGAAAATGGTCTAGTGTGGTGGTGGGCGACCATGGTCTAGTGTGGTGGTGGTGGGAGGCGACCATGGGCTAGTGTGGTGGGAGGCGACCATGGGCTAGTGTGGTGGGAGGCGACCATGGGCTAGTGTGGTGGGAGGCGACCATGGGCTAGTGTGGTGGGAGGCGACCATGGGCTAGTGTGGTGGGAGGCGACCATGGGCTAGTGTGGTGGGAGGCGACCATGGGCTAGTGTGGTGGGAGGCGACCATGGGCTAGTGTGGTGGGAGGCGACCATGGGCTAGTGTGGTGGGAGGCGACCATGGGCTAGTGTGGTGGGAGGCGACCATGGGCTAGTGTGGTGGGAGGCGACCATGGGCTAGTGTGGTGGGAGGCGACCATGGGCTAGTGTGGTGGGAGGCGACCATGGGCTTGTGTGGTGGGAGGCGACCATGGGCTTGTGTGGTGGGAGGCGACCATGGGCTTGTGTGGTGGGAGGCGACCATGGGCTAGTGTGGTGGTGGGAGGCGACCATGGGCTAGTGTGGTGGTGGGAGGCGACCATGGGCTAGTGTGGTGGTGGGAGGCGACCATGGGCTAGTGTGGTGGTGGGAGGCGACCATGGGCTAGTGGTGAGGTGGGAGGCGACCATGGGCTAGTGTGGTGGTGGGAGGCGACCATGGGCTAGTGGTGTGGTGGGAGGCGACCATGGGCTAGTGTGGTGGTGGGAGGCGACCATGGGCTAGTGTGGTGGTGGGAGGCGACCATGGGCTAGTGTGGTGGTGGGAGGCGACCATGGGCTAGTGTGGTGGTGGGAGGCGACCATGGGCTAGTGTGGTGGTGGGAGGCGACCATGGGCTAGGGGTGTGGTGGGAGGCGACCATGGGCTAGTGTGGTGGTGGGAGGCGACCATGGGCTAGTGTGGTGGTGGGAGGCGACCATGGGCTAGTGTGGTGGGAGGCGACCATGGGCTAGTGTGGTGGGAGGCGACCATGGGCTAGTGGTGTGGTGGTGGGCGACCATGGGCTGGTGTGGTGGTGGGCGAAAATGGTCTAGTGTGGTGGTGGGCGACCATGGTCTAGTGTGGTGGTGGTGGGAGGCGACCATGGGCTAGTGTGGTGGGAGGCGACCATGGGCTAGTGTTGTGGGAGGCGACCATGGTCTAGTGTTGTGGGAGGCGACCATGGGCTAGTGTGGTGGGAGGCGACCATGGGCTAGTGTGGTGGTGGGAGGCGACCATAGGCTAGTGTGGTGGGAGGCGACCATGGGCTAGTGTGGTGGGAGGCGACCATGGGCTAGTGTGGTAGTGGCAGGCGACCATGGGCTAGTGTGGTGGGAGGCGACCATGGGCTAGTGTGGTGGGAGGCGACCATGGGCTAGTGTGGTGGGAGGCGACCATGGGCTAGTGTGGTGGGAGGCGACCATTGGCTAGTGTGGTGGGAGGCGACCATGGGCTAGTGTGGTGGTGGGAGGCGACCATAGGCTAGTGTGGTGGGAGGCGACCATGGGCTAGTGTGGTGGGAGGCGACCATGGGCTAGTGTGGTGGGAGGCGACCATGGGCTAGTGTGGTAGTGGGAGGCGACCATGGGCTAGTGTGGTGGTGGGAGGCGACCATGGGCTAGTGTGGTGGTGGGAGGCGACCATGGGCTAGTGGTGTGGTGGTGGGAGGCGACCATGGGCTAGTGGTGGTGGTGGGAGGCGACCATGGGCTAGTGGTGGTGGTGGGAGGCGACCATGGGCTAGTGGTGTGGTGGGAGGCGACCATGGGCTAGTAGTGTGGTGGGGTGTCAGTGTAGAGGGTGCTACTGTGGGTGTTGCGGATGGGGCAGTTGTTGTGGTGAGGGTCAGGGGGCACAGGGTGAGGGCCGTGCAGGGTGAGGGCCGTGCAGGGTGAGGGCCGTACAGGGTGAGGGGCGTGCAGGGTGAGAGGCGTGCAGGGTGAGGGGCGTGCAGGGTGAGGGGCGTGCAGGGTGAGGGGCGTGCAGGGTGAGGGGCGCACAGGGTGAGGGGCGTGCAGGGTGAGGGGCGTGCAGGGTGAGGGGCGTGTCGGGTCAGGGGCGTGTCGGGTCAGAGGCGTATCGGGTGAGGGGCGTGCAGGGTGAGGGGCGGGCAGGGTGAGGGGCGTGCAGGGTGAGGGCCGTGCAGGGTTAGGGGCGTGCAGGGTCAGGGGCGAGTAGGGTGAGGGGCGTGCAGGGTGAGGGGCGTGCAGAGTGAGGGGCGTGCAGGATCAGGGGCGTGTCGGGTCGGGTGAGGGGCGTGCAGGGTGAGGGGTGTGCAGGGTAAGGGGCGTGCAGGGTGAGGGGTGTGCAGGGTAAGGGGCGTGCAGGGTCAGGGGCGTGCAGGGTCAGGGGCGTGTTGGATTAGGGGCGTGCAGGGTGAGGGACGTGCAGGGTGAGGGGCGTGCAGGGTGAGGGGCGTGCAGGGTGTGGGGCGTGCAGGGTCAGGTTCGTGTAGAATTATGGGCGTGCAGGGTGAGGGGCGTGCAGGGTGAGGGGCGTGCAGGGTCAGGTTCGTGTAGAATTATGGGCGTGCAGGGTGAGGGGCGTGCAGGGTGAGGGGCGTGCAGGGTGAGGGGCGTGCAGGGTGAGGGGCGTGCAGGGTGAGGGGCGTGCAGGGTGAGGGGCGTGCAGGGTCAGGTTCGTGTAGAATTATGGGCGTGCAGGGTGAGGGGCGTGCAGGGTGAGGGGCGTGCAGGGTCAGGTTCGTGTAGAATTATGGGCGTGCCGCGTCAGGGGCGTGCAGGGTCAGGGGCGTGCAGGGTCAGGGGCGTGCAGGGTGAGGGGCATGCAGGGTGAGGGGCGTGCCGGGTGAGGCGCGTGCAGGGTGAGGCGCGTGCAGGGTGAGGCGGCGTGCAGGGTGAGGGACGTGCAGGGTGAGGGGCACACAGGGTGAGGGGCGCGCAGGGTGAGGGGCGTGCAGGGTGAGGGCGTGCAGGGTGAGGGGCGCACATGATGAGGGGCGTGCAGGGTGAGGGGTGCACAGGGTGAGGGGCGTGCAGGGTGAGGGGCGTGCAGGGTGAGGGGCGCACAGGATGAGGGGCGTGCAGGGTGAGGGGCGTGCAGGGTGAGGCGGCGTGCAGGGTGAGGGACGCTCAGTATGAGGGGCGTGCAGGGTGAGGGGCGCACAGGGTGAGGGGCGTGCAGGGTGAGGGGCGTGCAGGGTGAGGGGCTTGCAGGGTGAGAGGCGTGCAGGGTGAGGGGCGTGCAGGGTGAGGGGCGTGCAGGGTGAGGGGCGTGCAGGGTGAGGGGCGTGCAGGGTGAGGGGCGTGCAGAGTCAGGGGCGTGCAGTGTCAGGGGCGTGCAGGGTCAGGGGCGTGTTGGATTAGGGGCGTGCAGGGTGAGGGACGTCCAGGATCAAGGGCGTGCAGGGTCAGGGGCGTGCAGGGTCAGGGGCGTGTCGGGTCAGGGGGCCTGCAGGGTCAGGGGCGTGCAGGGTGAGGGGCGTGCAGGGTGAGGGGCGTGCAGGGTGAGGGGCGTTTTGGATTAGGGGCGTGCAGGGTGAGGGGCGTGCAGGTTCAGGGGCGTTTTGGATTAGGGGCGTGTAGGGTGAGGGGCGTGCAGGGTGAGGACCAGGGTCACCTATGCAGACTGGGACAGGGAAACTTGGACGTAGGGTGCAGCGCCCCTACCACCCTCTCGTGCCAGGGACACCCCACCCCGGGCACGACGCCCCCTGCCACCCGTCATGCAGGGGACGGGAACAGGGGCACCAGGAGCCCCTGGGGCTGGCTAACACAAGGATGTTACACTAAGCTCTCCATCCAGTGTAAAGTTACACACACATGCAAGTTAATTGTAAAAGAGATCAGAGGAAGGTGTACTGGAAGGTGTATATTTGTGTTGTGAGCCCCGGTTCACCGCGGGCCCTCCAGGGGTCCTCCAGGGGTCCTCCAGGGGTCCTCCAGGGGCAGGGAAAAAGCCTACTGTCGTGCAGGTTATAAACTAGGGACTAAAGCTGGAATGTGAGAGGTTGGTAGTTATGGGAGGGGTGGTGGAGGGCCATGCTGTGGTGCTGGAGGGATGGTGAGAGCGCGTATCGACTGGTCGGGTGGTAGGGGTGGGCGGCGGCCATGATGGCCAGCCTCGGGTGTGCGTGTTCGGGTGCGCTCGGCTGCGCTCGGGCGGCGGCGGGGGGCCCGAGCCCTGCCGCCGGGTCAGACGGTGGCCAACCTCGGGCGCGTACACTACAGGTCGGGCTCTGGCGAGACCATGCGCGCTGGTGCTGCCCCCCGCGCGTCGACCACCACTACACCCTACCCTTCATCACACCCCTGACGCCCCCCACACACGCCCCCCACACGCCCACACCCTCAGACTATGTGAGGGGATGGGCTATGGACGTCACGGGATCATTACTGACAAGTTTAACAAGGAATATGCAACATTCTTGAGGTTAATGAAGATGAACGTAGCGTTTCTCGAGTAGCAAGTTGGTATAGTTTGACCGTGTCGTAGCGCAGTGCTCAGCTCATACGGGTGATCATTCTCTTGAGAGGAGCTGTTGTACCACGTCCTCTGTACTAGAGCTGTTCCCCCAGGCTGTAACCAGGCTGTACCTTAGCGTGTTATCCAGGGTGTAAACTCTGCTGTACCACAGCTGTAGCCAGGCTGTAGCGCCCGTGTCACTACAGCTGCTGGCCGCCCCCCCCGGCCGCCGCCCCCATCACCACCAGTCATCCAGCTGCACGCCTCGCAGGGAATGGAGTCACCATCTGCCTGTTTGTGATCCTAAGGTAAGACATTAGTTCCTGCCATCATGCTGCACCATTTGCCATGATGCTGCACCATTTGCCATGATGCTGCGTCATCTGCCATGATGCTGCGTCATTTGCCATGATGCTGCGTCATCTGCCATGATGCTGCGTCATCTGCCATGGTTCTCTGCGCCGCTGCGGTCATTACCTCCCTTCCGGGATTCGTCTTCAAAGGCCATGTTTCACCCCCTGCCATGGTTTTTCTCCGCTCCCCTGTCATCGCCCCCCCCCCCCTGCCATGGTTCTTCCCCCCCCTGCCATGGTTCTCCCCCCCCCCTGCCATGGTTTTTTCAGCCCCTCCCCCTGCCATGGTTCTCCGCCCCCTGCCATGGTTCTCCGCCCCCTGCCATGGTTTGTATCCGCCCCCCTGCCATGGTTTCTCTCCACCCCCCCCTTCCATGGTTCTCCGCCCCCCCCCCTGCCATGGTTTTTCTACGCCCCCCCTGCCATGGTTTTTTTCTGCCCCCCCTGCCATGGTTCTCCGCTCCCCTGCCATGGTTCTCCGCTCCCCTGCCATGGTTCTCCGCCCCCCTGCCATGGTTTTTCTCCGCCCCCCCCTTCTATGGTTCTCCGCCCCCCCCCTTCCATGGTTCTCGGCCCCCCCCTGCCATGGTTTTTCTCCCGCCCCCCTGCCATGGTTTTTCTCCGCCCCCCTGCCATGGTTCTCCGCCCCCCCCCCTTCCATGGTTCTCGGCCCCCCTGCCATGGTTTTTCTCCGCCCCCCCTTTGCCATGGTTTTTCTCCGCCCCCCCCCTGCCATGGTTCTCCGCCCCCCCCCCCCCCCCGCTGCCATGGTTCTCCGCCCCCCCTGCCATGGTTCTCCGCCCCCCCTTGCCATGGTTCTCCGCCCCTCCCTTGCCATGGTTCTCCGCCCCCCCTGCCATGGTTCTCCGCCCCCCCCTGCCATGGTTCTCCACCCCCCCTGCCATGGTTCTCCGCCCCTCCCCCTGCCATGGTCCTCCGCCCCCCCCCCTGCCATGGTTCTCCACCCCCCCCTGCCATGGTTCTCCACCCCCCCTTCCATGGTCCTCCACCCCCCCCTGCCATGGTTCTCCGCCCCCCCCCTGCCATGGTTCTCCGAACCCCTCCTATGGTTCTCCACCCCCCCTGCCATGGTTCTCCACCCCCCCCTGCCATGGTTCTCCGCCCCCTGCCATGGTTCTCCGCCCCTTCCCTGCCATGGTTCTCCGCCCCTTCCTTGCCATGGTTCTCCGCCCCTTCCCTGCCATGGTTCTCCGCCCCCCCCCCTGCCATGGTTCTCCGCCCCCCCCCCTGCCATGGTCCTCCGCCCCCCCCCCTGCTATGGTCCTCCGCCCCCCCTCTGCCATGGTCCTCCGCCCCCCTGCCATGGTTCTCCGCCCCCCCCCCTGCCATGGTTCTCCGCCGCCCCCCCCTGCCATGGTTCTCCGCCGCCCCCCCTGCCATGGTTCTCCGCCCCCCCCCTGCCATGGTTCTCCGCCCCCCCCCTGCCATGGTTCTCCGCCCCCCTGCCATGGTTCTCCGCCCCCCTGCTATGGTTCTCCGCCCCCCCCCCGTGCCATGGTTCTCCGCCCCCCCCCCCGTGCCGTGGTCCTCCGCCTGTCTTATATAAAGTGGTCAATGTGTCTTTTACATAGCTAGTGTCATTAACGTGCGTTTACAAAGGTGGACGCTGGTCAGAATTGCATTTCACCTTTGCAAATGTACATTAATGACACTATGTAAAAGAGACATCGACCACTATGTAGGACAGACGTAAATATGTGTATCTATGTATTTACGTATGTAGGTTAGCTTAGCATTTTAAAAGCACTACAATCACCATCTGTGGGTTGATTGTTTAATTAATCCCTGAACTATATGTTTAACACTTCTCTCACCCTGTCCATGGAGGACAGAAGAAAATGAATGTATGCTGGTTAGCATTGCAAATGTCCGGCCACGTCTGTGGTAGAAAAATAATAATAATAAAAGAATCTGTGCCATGGTCTGACACTGCCATGGTCTGACACTGCCATGGTCTGACACTGCCATGGTCTGACACTGCCATGGTCTGACACTGCCATGGTCTGACACTGCCATAGTCCTGCACTACTCCCAGTGTTCCTCACACCACCATGATCCTCTATGGTCTTCCACAATTGTCATGGCCCCTCCCCCCCCCCCCTCACCATGGTCCACCACCCACTGCCATGGACCTCTCTTCAGAGTCATGCCATGACATCATTCTACACGCTATTACACTGTAGGTTAAAACGTTATAATCTTTAATGTTCCTTTTTCCACACACCTACACCCAGTGTTCCACCCCCCCCCCACCACCCGGGGTCATGGTCCTACACCCTAGCCCAGGCTCCTACACATTGATCTATGTTTGTATACAAAATGTCACTGTTACACTTGCAACGTCACTGTATTGGCTTGTCAGTGTACTCACCTAGTTTTGCTAGGTGAATACACTGACATGTGAGTACACTGCCAGGTGAGTACAGTGACGTGACTACGGGGGAGGGTGCCAACTTGACTCAGTGTACCGGAAGCGTTGTCACTGTTTATTCTGACGTTTGAGTTTGGAATATTCTGCATTTTCCATCATTGGTCTAACGTAGGTGGCTAAAAGCACACCGACTTGAGGGGCCGGGAACTAAAGTCTTTCAAACTTGCTCAAACAATTTCAGAGTTTGTGTACATAATCTACTGGGGAAATGCTTCAACTTTGTCTAGATAATCAGCATCTTAACTTGAAAGACAAGAAAATCAAAAATGATAAAATCGAATAGTGAAAATTTCGGATTTTAATATCAGCTTCACATATATAAAATATCACCAATTGTTTATTTGGTGGTGTCTTTCATAATTGTATATGATAAAACAATAAAAAAATTGTTTGACTAAAAAAAATCTACGGAATTTTAGAAGAGAGAATTGTGCACAGTGTGTAAAAAATGGTGAAAATCAGTCAGAAATTGGATTTTTGAAGCTGACTCAAACTTGAATTCTAGTGATAGAGATAATTGAAGTTTAAATTATCGACAATAAACAAGGTAGTTCTAATTCATTAATTTACTTGTATGTTTTAATAAACATTATTTAGCATTCGTACTCGAATATGTGAAAGTTGTAAGTCAATATGTGTTTAAATCAAGTAAAAAAAATACCCCCCCCTACAAAAACTATATATAGAGATAATTTATAATGATTTAGGGGATCTATATGTGTAATTTATATAGGTGATAAAGCCCTAATCTGGTCCCTAAATCATCAAAACAACGTAAAGAGACAAAGAAAGAGTTTGAAATCTGTGAAGAAATCTGCCTCAAAAAATTCAAAGTCCCAAGTTGTGCGAGGTGTGACTGACTGACTCGTTGACCATTTGCACTCTATCTTCACACAGTTAGGGGCGGGTATGTACTCTCCAGGATGTAAAGGTTACACTGACTGACTTGTTGACCATTTGCACTCTATCTTCACATAGTTAGGGACGGGTATGTACTCTCCAGGATGTAAAGGTTACAACTATATCATTTAATAAACAAAGGAGGAAAAAATAAAAAAATTAAACATTTTTCCTAAAAAATGTTTTGAGCATTGTGTACAGGAACCTGGAGCAGCGAGAACCCGGGTGTTCTGCCGTACACACACACACACACACACACACACACACACACACACACACACACACACACACACACACACACACACACACAGGGGGGGGGTACACACACACACACACACACACACACACACACACACACACACACACACACAGGGGGGGGGGTACACACACACACACACACACACACACACACACACACACACACACACACACACACACACACACACACACACACACACACACTTTCACACACACACACACACACTTTCACACACACACACACACACTTTCACACACACACACACACACTTTCACACACACACACACACTTTCACACACACACACACACACACTTTCACACACACACACACACACTTTCACACACACACACACACACACACACACACACACACACACACACACACACACACACACACACACACACACACGGGGTACACACACACACACACACACACACACACACACACACACACACACACACACACACACACACACACACACACACACACACACACGGAATGCACTAGGAAGTGATGTGGTGGAGGCTGACTCCATACACAGTTTCAAATGTAGATATGATAGAGCCCAATAGGCTCAGGAATCTGCACACCAGTTGATTGACGGTTGAGAGGCGGGACCAAAGAGCCAAAGCTCAACCCCCGCAAGCACAATTAGATGAGTACAATTAAGTGAGTACACACACACTGGGGATATACACACACGCACGCACGCAGACACAATGTTTGCGGATGACGCAAAGTTAATGAGAAGAATTGTGACAGATGAGGATTGTAGGATCCTCCAAGAGGACTTGAACAGGTTGCAGAGATGGTCAGGGAAATGGCTACCGGAGTTCAACACCAGTAAATGTAAAGTTATGGAAATGGGATTAGGTAATAGGCGACCAAAGGGACAGTACACAATGTAGGGGAACTGCCTACCTGTAACGATTCGAGAAAGAGACATGGGAGTGGACGTAACACCTAATCTAACTCCTGAGGCACATATAAATAGGATAACGACAGCGGCGTACTCTACACTGACGAAAATTAGAACTTCATTCAGAAACCTAAGTGAGGAGGCCTTTAGGGCGCTTTACACTGCCTACGTGAGGCCAGTCTTAGAGTATGCCGCGCCATCATGGAGTCCCCACTTGAAGGAACACATAAGGAAACTGGAGAAGGTTCAGAGGTTTGCGACAAGTCTTGTCCCAGAGTTACGAGGGATGGGATATGAAGAGCGTCTGAAGGCACTGAACCTTACGACACTAGAGGAAAGAAGGGAGAGAGGAGATATGATAGGAACATATAAAATACTCAGGGGATTGACAAAGTGAAATAGATGAAATGTTCACACTTAATAA